TTCCACACAACTGGATCTCATTTGTGTCTGAATCTCTGATGGTTTCAAGTTGAGTGATCTTTGGAGCCTGCCTCCTTGACTGCTTCCTGACTATCTCAAGGTCTTAGTTGCTCCACTTAATTGTTTTTAATACTATGGTTGTTCCTTAGATTGAAGTTTCATGTTTACATTGAAGTCTCTGAAAGCTACTGGGCCATCATAGAACAAAAACAAGAGGAGACATTTGTGTATGGCATCTGACTTTGTGTTTTAATTGTTGGGTACAATGGACTAGCTGTTATTCTGGCATGCCAAATGAAGAATGGACATATCTTTGCTCTGGTTAGCCAACAAATAATTACAGATCTCAAATTATCCTCTTCAACTCTCTTTCCAGCATCTGTATCAAATTATACCAATCAGTGAAAATTGCAAGGGATCTCATTTTTCAGGATCCAGCCGACTCTTCATGGTCCCATAAAATTATGGTAAATCTTTTTTGTGTTTGTGTCTACAGGAATGAAATTCTCCAATTAAAATTCTCCCTGGCCCAGCCAGCAGCAGTAATTCTCCAATGAATAATCTACTTCTTACCAAAAAATGTGCCTGAAAAGTGCACATTGGGAAAGTTGTATACTCCCAAAGAGTATTATTTAAGGGCAATAATTATTCTTATTTGGATAGCCTAGAGAGGAGAAGAGAACATGAGGAACGTTATCATAAGCAGTCACATTGAAGTTCAACCAGATTGATGTTTGATTACTAAAAATAATAGAATTAGAATCTTTTCTTTCTTCCCTTCCCTTCCCTTCCCTTCCCTTTCCCCTCTCCCCTCTCCCCCCCCTCTCTCTTTCTTTCTTTGTTTCATATGGCACCCATCTTATTGTCCAAGGCAATCTTTGCTGGATGGAGACAAAATGGGTATGATTCATGCCTGCTTCATCCTGTGTCATCACTTTTGAAGTAGCCGACTTCTCTTCTTCTATAAATACCGTGATTCTCATATAATAAGGCAGGGTCTTATTTTTTTTTGAGCCCCGAAAAAATGGCTAGGCCATCTTTTCGGGGATGACTTAATTCACCCCCCCCTTGCATCTTTGGGCGGGCGGTGATGGCTTGGATGTTGACCTCGGCGTTGGTGGGGCACTTCGTATCGGGGTCAACGCAGGCAGCACCATATCCGAGTGTGCAACAAAAGTACTTCCTAAGGGCAAGCCCCCCCACCATTCCTCCCCATTTCGCATGTTTTAATATAGGCCTTAATTTGGGGGGAGGGGCTTAATTTCATTTCATGCCTATAAAACATGCTGGGGCTTCCTATTGGGGGAGGCCGTATTGTTGGAGAAACAGGGTACTAGGTAAGGCCTAGGTGTGCAAGGGGTCAAAAAAGGGGGTCAATCAATGATTCACTTAACAACGGTGGCAAGAAAGAAAATAAAATGGGGCAAGTCTTGCTTAACAACTGTCCTGCTTAGCAATGGAAATATTATTACCTGTACCTGGAGGTGAAACAGACACTATTTCCTATTGAAACTCCAGAGGATAAAATAAGTCTACCATGGATTTGATCCACTTCCATAATATCCCTTCCTAAAGTTGTCTAAATCATTCTTTGATGAGAGAACTCATCTGACTTCCAGTTATTGTTGAGGATAGGAGCAGAATGATCTCTGTGTTTAGATTTCAAGAGGACCTCTCTTGGCTTTGGCATTACCAGAATGGATGCCTCTGTAGAATGAATGAACACAGCATGCTATAGGGAAAAAGTATCAAAATTCTGCAACAAGAGAAAGATGTCATACAGTTGAGAATTTGAATACTACATTCCAAAGACCGTTCCTCTGTCTGTGGATCTGATTCATATTCCAACATTTATCCCAAGCTTGGCTTATGTCCAGCTCTTGAACTACAGTTTGTTCATCAGCTCCTTGGGAGAACTTGATGAAAAGCGAGAATCAAATAAACCAGGGGATAGACAAAATGGAAGAGGGGAGCGGGAAAATATCTCTGATTGTTATTAAGCACTTCCTCTCATCCTCACTGCTCAATACCTCCTCTGCAGTCAAGCATTATTATTTCCAAAACAAACTTGCCATTGTGAGTTTTGTATGGCTTTGTGTAGGAGATGACCAGGCAGAGCCCAAGAGAAGGGTCAAACATATCATAAGTCACGAGTCCCTTTGCATCTGCAAGAGATTTAAGTCCAGCCCACCTTGAATGCCTTGTTTATCTCCCGCTCATTTCTCTTGGCTATTAGTTGGACAGATTCCTGTGGAGAGCTGAAGCTTGCAATACATCTTTATACTCATTTGAACTGCCTGAATCTCCTGATTTCCTTGGCTCTTGGCAGTTTGATCACTTCAAGCTCCACCCTAAAAACAAAGGATTTATCCACTTGGCTCAAAGTTTTCCTGCCTGGATTTTGTTAAAGGACTGGTTCATTTAGTCAGTCTTTTTTTTTTTTAACCAATAAATTTTTTCCCCATTTGATGAAGTGTTTCCAGCTGAGCTGAGCCCTTTGAAGTGCAGCTAAAGTAGTGATGGCATACAGTGTGGGTGGGACCAGAATTGCATAGTCAAGATTACTACAAAGGTTAATGAGCAGCTGTGAGATTTATATATATAGAAAGAAAGACCCATTTCTTTAAAAAAACAACAACAACCCAGGACCCTAAAATCTTTTTGGAAGAGAGAAATGTAATTGCACGCTGTTCTTTTTACATGCTGATATCAGTACTGCACTTAGTTGGAAGCATAACTTTGAAAAAGAGCCCAAAGTTAGAACAGCGGCTGTTTTCTCCTTAGCTTCATCAGAGATGGTCAACCACCATTATCTGTATTCATCTTGGTTGAAGGGTTGAATGCTGGCGATACACCATAGAAGTCTTCCTTGACTTTGGGGGGTCACACTGAGAGCCTCTGTTGGGTAGCAGTGAAGGTGGAGGCCAAGACTTATGAAGAACGCAGGAATTGGGTATGGCTAGGCTAAAGAAAAGGACTAGGGGAGACATGGTAGTGGTGTTCCAATATACGAGGAGTTGCCACAAAGAAGAGGAGGTTAACTTATTTTCCAAAGCACCAGAAGACTAGAAACAATGGATGGAAACTAATCAAGGAGAGCAACAACCTGGAATTAAGGAGAAATTTCCTGACAGTGTGAACAATTATCCAGTGGAACGGCTTGCCTTCAGAAGTTGTGGGGGCTCCATCACTGGTTGTTGTTTTTTTAAAGAAGAGACTGGACATTCACCTGTCTGAAATGGTATAGGGTATAGGGTCTACTGCTTGGGCAAGGGGTTGAACTCCAAGGTCCCTTCCAGCTCTATTCTGATTGATTGTGTTGGACTAGGAGAAATTTAGGAGAAATTTCCTGACAGTGACAACAACCAACAGCTGTGGAACAGTTTGTCTTCAGAAGTTGTAGGTGCTCCATCACTGGAGGCTTTTAAGAACAGACTGGACAGCCATTTGTCTGAAATGGCATAGGTACTCCTTCTTGAGCCAGGGGTTGGACTAGAAGACCTCCAAGGTCCCTTCCAACACTGATGATGATGATGATGAGTCAGTAGACCCAAGTTCAACTCATCCTCAGCTATGGAAGATTACTGAGTGACTCTGGGCTGGTTACTTTCTCAGATAACCTACTTCATGAGGTTATCGTGGGAAAAAATGGGGAGGAGTGAGCAGCCTTACACTCTTCCAAGAAAGATGGGCTATATGTCTAACTACAGGTAGTACTTAACTTACAATAGTTCATTCAGTGACCAGAGTTGTTACAACAACACTGGAAAAAGTGACTTATGACCCCCATGGTCACAAGTGCTTGGCAACTGGCATGCATTAATGACAGTTGAAATGTCCTGAGGTCATGTGAACTCCTTTTGTGACCTTCTAATAAGCAAAATCAATGCAGAAGCCAGATTCCTTTAAAGCCGTGTTATTCATTAAACAATTGCAGTGATTTGCTTGACAACTGTGGGAAGAAAGGTTGCTAAATGGTGTAAAACTCATTTAACAACTGTCTTGACTAGCAATAGATATTTTGGGGTTCAGTTGTGGTGGTAAAGTGAGGATTACCAACATCAAAGAAAGAAAGAAAGAAAGAAAGAAAGAAAGAAAGAAAGAAAGAAAGAAAGAA